GTGCTTTTTCGGAATTGGATCTGGCCCACGTCCCATCTTCTCGCCTTAGCGGAGCTATCGGAGTTGTGGGTCTTTTGAGTTTCTTGGTAGCTCTCCATAATGAGTGGTCGTTAGGTTCCAGATTTGTGATGTAGTATTCGAAAGTTTCGTTGTTGAAGTCTTGGATAGTAGCATGGAGTTTGTGGGTAAGTCTGTTGAGATACCTTTTGTCGTTGGGATTTCTTGTGGTTTGCCATATTCTGCGTGCTCTCCGTTTTTCCAGGACCATTTCTTTGATGCGTAGTGGTAAATTATTTTCTATTGTTTTTTGACAGTGTGGGGGTGTTGCGTTCCAAGCAGCCTTTTGGAGAAGTACTGTAAAGTCGTGAACTGCTTTTTCGATTTCGTCATGTTCCTTTAATCGTGTATTGGGTTTGATACGTTGGTTTATGTATTCTTGGTATTTTTCCCAGTTTGTTTTTTTGGTGCATAGGTGGGGGACAGTTTCCTTGGTCAGTATTTCAGTGCTTACCGTTATGATAATAGGGCTGTGGTCAGAGCTAAGATCAAAGCTCGATTTTATGTCACAGTGAGTACTTGGTATTTTCTTGGTGATTGCAAAGTCAAGAAGGTCAGGTATTCTATTCCTGTCAGCAGGCCAGTATGTCGGTTCACCGGTGGAGAGATAATCCAAGTTGTTCTGTTGAATTGCTCGTAGTAACATGTTACCTTTATGTGTTGTAAGCCTGGAGCCCCAAGTGGTGTGTTTGGCGTTCCAGTCGCCTGCCGCTATGAAGTGGGATCCTAGTGTGTTAAAGTATTGTTGATACTCGTGTTGTAATCTTGTGTTTGATCATTTCTTTAAGATTAATTTTAATACTATGCCCCCATCTATGCCTAAGGCTTACAATGAATTCAAGTTTATCTGCCAATAGGTTTACCAGGTCGTTTAATATTGTAGCGAGTACAGCCGTTGCTATGCAACAGACGAAAAAACAAACTTCCGTTTCTGAGCAACGGCTGGCGGCCTTACGAGCCGGCCGCTCTTTACCCACCCCAATAGAAAGACTCCTGGTACTTACGAGTATTTCTGTCAGGTGCTGGGTCGACCCCAGGGCCATATTGCGGCTTGTAGCATAGTGCCTCAACCAATTACGCTACCCCGCTCGCTCGAATTACGGGTCGTGGGTTCGGATCCCACTCAAAGCACGGATATCTGTGTGCGTTTATTCTGTATTTGTGTTGTTGTGTGTAAGTAGCGGCCTTGCAACGGGCTGATCCCCAGTCCAAGGAGTCACACCGTGTACAGGATTAAGAAAACTAAAAAATCAAAGGTCCAACAAAAGGGCTGTAGTCATAGATGGGTAGGTAGATCATTTAGACCAAAGGTCTCCAAACTACGGCCCGCGGGCCACATGCGACCCGCGATGTGATTCTGCAGAAATGCGCCAATTGAACTAATTTTCCAGTGAGTACTGGTAAATGTGATTCCGAGCTTACTGACCTGACGTATTATACTGCAGTTCGATGGTTTAGCTGTGGAAAGGTTCTTTCGCGCTTCTTTCAGCTCAGGAATGAAATTGATATATTTCTTAACGAGAAAAACCATCACAAAACACTGTTATCAGATACCGAGTGGCTTTGGAAATTAGCATTTTTAGCTGATCTGGTGAACCATATGAATTTAAAGTTGCAGGGTGAAAATAACTTAGTCTGTGATTTATTTGCACTTATCAAGGCATTCAGAGCAAAGTTGATACTTCTGGAAAGCCAAGTGAAAAATTGTAACTTTGTTCATATGCTATACTGAGCAGAGTTGCATAAAAAGGGTGAAGCAGAATTTCCTTCCTCGTTTGCAAATTTAGTCATTTCAGATTTGAAAGAACAATTTCGGAAGCGATTTGCTGATTTGGATTCCAGTGCTCAGGAAATTAGATTGTTTCAAAATGCGTTTGACTGTGATGCTGCAGATGTCAAATTCAAATGGAAATTATTGAACTTCTGGAAAATTATCATATTAAAGGCAAATATAAGGAAGGAAATTTGATCGAATTTTATAAATTTCTGAACTCTGAGCAATTTCCAAATTTAAAGAAATTTGCTTGTAAATTTATCTCCATTTTTGGGACGACATATCTGTGTGAACAAACTTTTTTCCCAGATGAAGTACATCCAGTCGAAATACAGGGCAAATTTATCCGATGAACATTTAAAGTCGCTACTTGTGATTAGTGTTTCAAAATTTGAACCTCAATTTAATCAGATTTAAGAATACAAAAAGAGTTCCATCATTCACATTAATTGTTTTATTATAATTTGTGATGAAAATATGAGCATTTGCTACCACTGTCTGTTGTCATTAATATACGACAATTTATTCTCATGTACTTTGTATTTAGTTTATGAAATTCTGTGCTTTCAATAAAACTCATATACCTAGAGTTATTAATTTCTTATTTTATCCGGCCCTTTGAAAGTGCTGAATTACCTAATGTGGCCCGCGTTTCGAAAAGTTTGGAGACCCCTGATTTAGACGAATTCAGGCTTCACAGGTTAAAAGCAGACAGCTCATCCTGTATTGATCCGGAAATCGGGTGTCCGTTTAGGTTCCGACAGTTACTGCCGCGCAGAGGGCATTAGCAGAGCACGCGTGGGGCGAGTGTTCGAATTCCGACTTCTCCTGCGCTATCCTTTGCAAGCAGTCGCCACATCCGAGAAGCATAAAACAGACAGCGCAAGAAATGTACGCACAGCATAACAATTCTGACGCGTTCGCTCACTTTCACTCAACAGTCGAATAGCGCGAGGATTACAGAAAAAGTAAATGTGTTTCGCGTTTCTCTATTTCTTCATTCGAAACATGTTTCACCTCGACATCCCACACGGCACCCAAGCTATAACTCGACATGGCCACAGTACCGACCTTGATGGGCAGGTGGCAGCACCTCCTTGCTGCACCACCCTCACAAAGCAGCAGTGATGAGCTCGTCCGCGTGGCGGCGACAGCAGTATCAGCGGCAACACAGGTTTTGTCTCAGCTTGCCTGTGTGGTCCCTTTCGATTTGAGTTACATTTTTATAATTATCTTATACCAAATTAAAAGTAGTTCTTACTGTACTGCCAATCATGAAGGTGGTTTAATGCTCTTTAACATTACTTCAGGATTTCGGGAATTGTCAACAGACTTCCAATAGACAAATGAATTACGAGAAATGGGGCGTCCCCAGAGCACCAGTGCCTTTATGCCCACCGTGCAATAATATGAAGACATCCGTCACTGCACTACATGTCTCGGTCTACTCGGCCATCATCAGGCACGTTGAAACTCTGGGGAAGTGCCGTGCCTTCCGCGCTACTGTGACCCGTGTTTTCATACTTACAGTGTTTCCCTATGAAGTTGGTGTAGTGTATCGTTCTATGCCACACGTATTGCCAACTAAATCCAACTAGAAATCTGTCTCTCTATCTATGGTTCTAGAGCCATTGTGGGCTTTGGCCACTTTTTCAGTTTCTTGATGCATACGCAATCGGTAGGACTCCTTGGCCGGGGGATCAGCCCGTCGCAAGGACACTACCTACACACACAATAACACAAACACAGAATAAACGCACACAGACATCCATGCCTCGAGTGGGATTCGAACCCACGATTCCAGTGTTCGAGTGGCCGAAGACGTTTCATGTCCTAGACCACTACGGTGAACTTTGGAGTGTGTAACTCAGTGAGACTGTCGTAGTTATTTACAGTTACAAGTGTAAGTGTCCAATAAATTCTGCTACCAATCCGAATCACGTCTGTAGTCACACTCAACAGCGCGACAATACTGTATTGATACAATTCCGAGTTTCCAAACATGCTAGCAGATGGTGCATATAGTGCCCCGTGCTTAAGCAGGTTGACTGGCTCGCTTTCCTGTGTTTCTAGCTCACAGCAATCCTCGTACTGGCTGCACATTTTTGAGAATATGTACCGTCAGCTGTTCCATCAGTCTGGCAGCCACGACTCTCCATGCCCGCACCGCGCAACTCGCATGTCTTGCACTTCCTCGTATTATTGTTAGATGGCAGCACTGACTGCTGTGGCTATGCATAACGTCACGAAACACGAACCTTCCAACACTGACTAAGCATAAGCACAGCGGCGTGCTTACAGTTAATTTAAGCCCAGTGGTTACTTACCATATGTACCACCTGCTTTAACACACTAAAACTCGGCAGTCTGCCCACACAGTGTATTTTTGTGTTCCGCATGGTTTCCACAGTAAACAGCGACTGTTTCCCGAAACAGCATTAACCGGTTGGGCTTTGTAGCGGAGACGTAATGTGTTTCCTGTGTGGTACGAACTGAATTTTTATATATTTTCACGTGTATGGGGTACGCGTGACGAATAACGGGTTCTGGATGTAATATCTGCCCATGTCATTTTCATTAATAAGTGTACTCCTGGAGTCAGTTCAACGTCTGGAACTAACTAATCACTTTCCTCTCCGTAACTTTGGTGTAACTTTGTTATTCTGCAGGAGCTCATTTTCTCGGGACATGGGGCTGTAACTTTGGATAAGAATTGTATAAGAACCGGATGACTGGATTTAACTGGCGCATTTCGTCTGGTTGTTGCTAAGAGACTGGTGGCCAGACTCACGTCTGTCAATTTTGTGTGTAATATATACTAAATCTAACTTCATGGAGCTGAGCCCTTCTTGACAAACCGCCAATTGTTCAGCTATTCAACAAGTTCCCAGCATTGTATGGAACTTCAAGGTTCATTACCGTGTTCACAAGAGTCCTCCACTGGTCCTTATCCGGAGCCAGATCAATCCAACCCGTGTAACATATGCACAGTTCAGTAAATACCCTGTATTCTGTAGCGCACTCGCGCCTTGTGGTTGGCATACAGGCACACGCAGCCCACAGAATTCAGTGAACCCACCATCATGGGTCACGACAAGTAATGCACGGTTGTGGGCTTTATAATTATTTCGTACTTCCGTTACAGGAAGAGAAGTGTGGCGCTACTCACGGAGTGATGACGATTTGGTGGAGGCCTTGCCGAGGGAGTGCTTCCGACTGACGCTCACGTCACTGATAGAACTGTGGGGAGAGCTGTTGGGTGACGTCGCGCCGTGTCCTGGAGTTTCCTCCTGCTGCTGCTGCTGCTGTTGCTGTTGCTGCTGTTGTTGAGACAGGGACATCCGAGACCTGCGGCTGAAGAAACAAAAAACACTCACAGGTCATCAGAAGATCATCTGTGGTCACGATATCGTCAGATGTAACGCGAGAAAGACAGCTCTCGACCCAGTCGGGCCCTGCACATACCATCGTGTAAATCAGGCCAGTTATGAGAAGCAGAAAGAGGAGATGGACTAGAAGCAGTGAGGAGGACGAGTAACAGAAATGCAGATGATGGAAGAGAAAACGGCCAAGAAGAGTCACCTGAGTCTCGAAGGGATAGCTCTACCCTTTTGTAATATAAATCTAATACGAACATCAAACATCTTGAGTAAGAGAAAACACAGAAAATGAGAAAAGCGGTACTATTTGTTATTTTGAACGTCTTGTATCCCCACCCAATTTAGAAGTGTCCTGAAATGGCAAAGAACTAGAATTGGTACCTACCTTTTTGCCTTGAGCTGACAGTTTTCCTTGAGAGCTCTCGAGGACACAGACAGCCCAACATTATTTGAGCTTGTCTTCCTGATGCGGCGAGATGTTCCCTCGCCGGCTGATGACGTCATGTTGGCGAACACTTTGCTCTTCACCTCCTTAAGGCTTCGCGACTTCAACTTCTGCTCTGCCTGGCCCTGAGCAATCTTGTTCATGACAGCGTCCCAGCGACCTCCGTTCTTTCTGACCGACTTGCACGGAGAACGTGTGGGGCGCCGGTTCTCCTGGTTCTCATCCTGCACGTTCGGATGTCCACCGTTGGCGGGAGATGACTCGATCATGGACTTGATCTTCGAAACTACATTCCTCTTCGGCATTTTGTATTTCTTCAGCTGGTGATGGGCTTCCTCTTTGGACAATTTGCCACCAACTATGGTGCTGAGAGATGAGTTGGAAGTTGCTGCTGGTGATTTCATGTTTCCCGCTGCTCCAGAGGAATTCGCTTCAGTTTTGTGGGTCGGCCTCTCTACCGAAGCATTCATGGATTCTTCAGTGACAGTGAAAACCATTAAGGCCTGCTGATTTTTCATGTTATTCTCTGTCAGAAAGTCACTTGCAATGACAATCCCTTTTGGCAGGTCTCCAACATTCTCGGACATTGTTTCCTGGATAACAGTTGTGAAGGTGAGACACGATTCTTTGATTTGACTTTGCTCCGAACGCGAAGAAACAGTTTTGGTGGACCCATCAGGAGAGAAATTTTCTTCGCCAGGATTTTGTTCTTCACCCTGAATCTCCTTTCCGTCGGAAGTGGCATCTTCCGGCCGCCTCTCAAGGTCGGAGTACACACCGCTGGACTCCATCTCCTCATTGATAGAAGCCGTGAAACTGGGACATCGTTGGTGTTGTTGGCCTGCAGAGATACAACGCAGAAATTGTACAGATTCTATAAACTTCACCGTCGCAGAGAAATGTTCTGTGCACAGATGTAGGGGTATTGTTGGGATGCACTCATTTTACAAAGTTCACAGAGAAACTCACTGTTGGGGACCCTTGTCTGTCTGCCTACATGGCCATCTACAAACTTCATCTCTAAGTACTCAACAAATTTAGCATAAATCTGGTATTGGAGGTATGTTTATGTATAAAAAGTAAGTAAAAGGTAACGGTACCCTTGTAACAGGCCGTCGAGACCTATTGGTTGTGAGATGAGGTCCCCGCATTTTCTAGACAGATGGCGCTGAGGTTGTCAGCCTTACGCGCTGGCCGCCCTTTGCTCCCAGGAAGATTCCTGGTACTTATTTCTGTTTGAGGCTGTCGACCCTAGTGTCATAGTGCGGCTGGAAGGATTAGGTAAATTGAAAAAATCCACCTCATCGGGACTCGATCCCGCGACCTTCCGGCTTGTAGCATAGAGATGACTACGCTGCCGCGTGCCCCCAAAATGTAGTGCCAAAAGCACGTGGTGTTCCCAAGCGGTAACCCATCCAAGTACTAACCACAAATAATGTTGCTTAACTTCGGTGATCGGACGAGAACCGGTGTTTTCAAGATGGTATGACCTTTAGCCGTTTTCTTGACAATCGTTTCACAGACATCGTGAGGTTGTCAGCCTTATGAGCTGGCTGCCCTTTATTCCTAGTAAGATCCTTGTATTCATTTCTGTTACAGGCTGAGCCGACCCCAGGGCTATAGTGCGGCTGGAAGGATTAGCTCAATTGAAAAGTCCAACGATTGCATCGGGAATCGAACACGCGACCTGCTGGTTTGTAGCATAATGCCTCAATCAACTACTCTATCACGTGCAAAAATTTATAAATTTTAAACATGTTCGTTTGTATGTTTATGTTTAGGCAACCTCCTTAGGCGACGAAACGCCGTGCTGGTAGGCAGATAGCAACATACTGTCATCATCCGTGCAGGTTCAAGTGATATGATACCTGTCTACCAAGCTACACGGTGTCACTACTCTCGACATTCCCCACTCACCTACAAGCACGGCACTGCCAGCATGCAGATTTGCCCCATACAGCGTACCATCGATGACCTGTGCTCTGCGATCGCCACGCCCAGTCCCCGCACCGGGATCATCATGTGTGTCTGCGTCGCTTTCTGTGAAGAAGTCTGAGTCCGTCATTGGGTCGGGCCCACACGTCTTCAGCTTGATGACCCGGTGATTGGTCGGAGAATGTTCTGGACCCCTGCTCGCCGGGCGACTCCACTCCCCATCACCCTGGTAACCATTGTCCAAGCTGGTGATACTAGTGATGCTGGTTACGAAACTGCTGGCAGCAGGAGGGGCAGCCGAGGAACGCGACGACGGTCCGGCAGAGGTCGCACCTGACGTCAAAACATACCAGAACACTTGTCACTATGGCGGCCTGCTGCGACTCAACTGCGTTCACTGGTCTCTAATGGCTTCTCCAAACTCCATTTGCCCGCGGAAACCTTTAGTTCTTAAAGATATATGAAGCTAATGCATCTAGACCACAAATAAGATAAAAGGTAAAGCTATCCCTGTAAGAGGCCGTCCAGGCCCCATAGGGTTGTGAGACGTCGAGGTTCCCAAATTTTATACACTATCGGCTTACAGATGGCGGTGAGGTTGTCAGCTTTACGCGCCGGCCTGCCGCCCTTTGCCCCCAGGTAGATTCCTGGTACTCATTTCTGTTAGAGGCTGAGTCGAACCCAAGGCCGTAGTGCGGCTGGAAGGATTAGGTCAATTGAAAAGTCCAGTGACCTCAAAGGAAATCGAATCCGCCTGTATCATAGTGCCTCGCCCAGTTACTGCGTGCTCCCGCACAAATAAGGATAATGCTAAATAAATGTTGGGCGAGGTACGAGATCAACATGTTAGTTAAATGCACATATTTAGAGACAGAAATCACACTTCACGTATAAAAGAAAATCAAGCTTAAAAACTAATATGCCAAATATTTGCAGTCTGCAATGCAAAGACTGTCTCCCGCCAGCGCTTCCCCCCACCCCCAACACATTCTTTTATGCTTAGCTTGATATTGGAAAGCTGTATTCACAAATCTGGTGTCACATTTGGTCTACTTCTGTATTTTGTTTCGTTGCTACATAATTAGAGAATGCAAATTCACAAAACTGCATACTGGCGAAGACAACCAGCTGACAAACTGCATGTCCTAATACAGCTCTTTCTTAAACCAAGAACATACTTTCGTGGATAAGAAACAGATATTATATATTGTTTCTAATACCGGTATTTATTGTTCGAGTGACAAAGTTGATAGAGATTCGAAAATTCAACCGTCAACATCAATGCAATTTGCAACTCGTGCGAGGACATGGCGTGTTGCCCGTCTGTACAGTGTACAGTGTACTGTGCAGTGAAATAGCTCTATCTCGGCGCAACTCGCGTGAGGACATAGCGTGTTGCTCGTCTATACAGTGTACAGTGTACTGTGCAGTGAAATAGCTCTATCTCGGTGCAACTCGTGTGAGGACATGGTGTGTTGCTCGTCTGTACAGTGTACAGCGCAGTGAAATAGCTATATCTCGGGGAAACTCGTGCGAGGACATGGCGTGTTGCTCGTCTGTACAGTGTACAGCGCAGTGAAATAGCTATATCTCGGGGAAACTCGTGCGAGGACATGGCGTGTTGCTCGTCTGTACAGTGTACAGCGCAGTGAAATAGCTGTATCTCGGTGAAACTCGTGCGAGGACATGGCGTGTTGCTCGTCTGTACAGTGTACAGTGTACTGTGCAGTGAAATAGCTGTATCTCGGTGAAACTCGTGTGAGGACATGGCGTGTTGCTCGTCTGTACAGTGTACAGTGTACTGTGCAGTGAAATAGCTGTATCTCGGTGAAACTCGTGTGAGGACATGGCGTGTTGCTCGTCTGTACAGTGTACTGTGCAGTGAAACAGCTCTATCTCGGAAACCGTTCGGAATAAGATACATGTACATGTACAATTTCTTGCTTAGAATGACCGACACCATGACCTGTCGGAATAATGACCTTTCTTCATAGGCCATGCTGTATAGTCTGCGATACTTGCAGCTTCACTATATACTTATAAGCAAAACAGAGGGCGTATAATCAGTGTCAAGACCCCTAGCACCTACCTGAGAGTCCTGCTGTGTCATGACCACTCTCCGACGTCACTTCTGCTTTCTGTAGAATTTCTCCCATCACTTCCTGAAATGGGGCGTCCATCGGGAGGTCCTCTGGTGAGAGGGTGCGGTCTGAGATATCCTGCCCGACTCTGAAGTCTCCGTCACTGGACTTGGAGACCGCTGGACAGACATTATCACTCAGGTCTTCTGATGCACAGAACACTGCATTCAGCGTGCTCTGACGCTGGCTAGGTGTTGTCGCGTCATTGCTTAGCACACCCTCTGCCTTGGGGAGAAGCAAGTGGTCAGTACTGGCCACGTTCTCAGCTGTCTCGAGGATACTGTCCACGGCATCATCAGGCAACTGTGGAAATTCTGAAGATGGATAGTTGGATGAGGAAGGTCCATCAGATTCTGATGGCAAGCGATCTCGCAGAAAATCTTCCACGTCATCACCTTTGCCATCCCCAAGAAGAAAGATGCCCATATCTTCAAAAGACGGAGTTCGTCCCACAGTGCTTCTGTCTACACATACAGCAAAGTCTATCATCTGATCAGGTGTGAGGATGCCAAGGCTCTCGTCCAGCTCAAAGGAGCTCTGTTTGCTGAGTTGCAGTGAAGTCTGTGAGAGGTGGTGTGGCTGGGGCCAGGACTGCGAACCCACAGGACTTATGTGGTCAGATGTGAGAATGCCAAAACCCTCATCCAGCTCTAAGGAGTTCTGGTTGCTGAGCTGCTGTGAAGGTTGCGACTGATGATGAGAGTGTGAAGGAGGAGTCGAGGAGGTTGCTGAAGATGAGCGGCACTGGCTCCAACTCTCCCACAGCACCGCATTGCTCGCGACACTGCTCGGCGTCGGTGTAGACATGGCGCTTGGCTGCTGTGGGCAAAACACAAACGCTGTAGTTTCTCAGACCGTTCAGGGTCCTAGCGCTGATATGCGGCCAGTGAGACTTCCATGTAATGACCTTTTTACGGGGGAGAGTCAGCAAATATGTCAGAAAATGATAAAAAACATGTGATATTCGAACCTGAAAAAAAACAGGTATTTCTCGACATATCCTCCAGCAACATCGGTACATATCTTCCATCGCTTTGCCAATGCGCCGAAACCCGCAGCACGAAAGTATTTTGATCGTTGTCTCGGCCACTTCCGCACATCTGTTTCAACCTCTTCTTCATCAGCGACATGTGTCACCAAGTTCTGAAAACACTTTACACGACAAACACTTTCCGTCGTAAACAGTAAATATTTCTTAATGAGTATTCTTTGTATTCGTCCAGAAAAAAAAACACAAGAGAACGCTGCTCCTCGGTAGTGCAATCCTCGAGCACGTTTGCCATCTTGACTACTGAAACCAGCCTCTGAACTTGAGCATGCATCTCTGCTACCTAGACTGTCATGAAGCTGGACTGTGCTGCTACCTAGTGATACATATAGAAAACCTATGACGCCCATTTTACTTCCATTTGTGAATTATTTACTGACTCTCCCTCGTGCGTGGCTGTCAAATTATATCAGACACAAAATGAAACGGAACGAAACCCCAATATTTAATTATTCTTGATTCTTACGAGAAAATATTTCCCAAACAGAACATGTATAAGATTTGTCTTCGTCCACTTCCTCAAGAAACGGTCCCTGACCGCCTGAGCATGTGTGAAGAGCCAGTTTCTGGGATAACCCCGGTTATAGGGTAGCAGCGGAACTACGGTTTCACGTGCAAGGGTGGAGGGGGCTAATATTTTCGCATTCCGCAAGTTCTCTCTCTGCTACACGTGAATGTTTAAACCTTGTGCAGAAACACAGGCACAAGGACTTGTAGAAAAGTACCAACAAAATGCAGTGTGTCCTATCGATCGGATATATTAACACCCACACCGACTCAACTTGTTAAGAAAATGTAAATTTAAACAGGCGCAGCCCAGCATCGCTTCCATAGCCTTCCGATTTCGCTGCGGTCTGAACTGTAATACATGAAGAGTCCTGGACAAATCCACATTACAATGTGATGCTGTCTGCTGCAAACATATTGTCACGTGTATGAGTCATTATAAACGGGTTTTGGATTGATGACCGAATTTATTGGACTCTCTGATACGGCGCGTGATTACACTTTACACACGCGCGCGCGCGCGCGGGCACACATACACACAGACTAGTGCCCAGTCACGCCTCCACTACCGTTACTTGGTTGCGGCGGGCATTCCCCTTCCCGAACTGTCCCCGGCCTCAGCTACCAGCTTCTTACAGCAACAGCCCACAGCAACTGAACCGCAGCGGTTATCCAACTCACAACTCACCTGACTGACTGACTGACTGACTGACTGACTGACTGACTGCAGTGCCTAACTTGTCTTGCTTATAACATCTCGGAAAGGACCGCACAGAAAATAACCGATCATGTGTTGCTGTTTACGGGCCACTGCCTAGTAAAAGCCGTTGTCTACCAATGGGTATTGTATTGTACGAAAATTACGCTTAGTGTAACAATAGTGGTCCATTCGTTCCCTGCGTTCATTTACCTCTAAAAGAGTAAGACTTGCTGAAAAGGTGCATTCGGCGTAGATAAAATTGCTTCATATATCTACACAGCCTTTGTTTGAATAGTTTTTGAGCCCGATAAATATTTAGCGAGTTTGACGCAAATTCCTTTTGCGATGCGGCCAAAATTTATGCAAATTTTCATGTAAAATATTCGTTGTTATACAATTTTAACCAAAATTAAATGTTCATATAAATTTTAGTAAAACGTCAAAATATAAAATCTGAATAATATTCGTAAGCAATTCTAGAGTTGTTGCAAGCACACAGACACACAGACAAAGCTAAAGCAATATCCTCCCCTCCTCACCAAAATTTGTGAACGTGCCACTAAAAACATGATCCTAGAACCTCTGCCGCTATCCACCTGCCCGAGCTAATGGCAGGACGGTCCCCATGAAGGTACACAAACCACTACAAGCTGCGGATCCTTGCGTGTCGCGTTTGTCAGTTAGGACTGGCGTCCTCTGACAGCTATGTTCTGTGTACGGTCAATTGCAAACGGTTCACCTCACATATAAAAATTCAGATCACAATCTTTGGGCCTAGCTTGCCCTGAGATCTGTCAGCAGCACACACAAACAGAGCCATTTCCGCAAACAAACTCTCTGGTAAGACTTTGGGACCAAAACATAATCCAGCATGGACAACGTCACCTGAAATATCGTGGGGAAACTGATGAGGTTTTCAACATGAATAATGGAATCCTACTGACAAAAATGTTTCTAGGAACGTGCAATATTTTCTACCTACAAAAAGAAAGCTTCTTCAGGAAATACCTAAGCTCAGTAACATCAGAAATTCTGGTCCTCAAGTATGAAGCGCGTAAACGCCTGTACAGTTATCGGGAGGAAGAAGTTTCAACAAAACGACATACTTCACACACAGTGCACTTTTCCTTAAGGAATTTATGCTGTGTTATCTTAAGGGCAACTGGGTCTTGTTTAGCACCACTTTCACACTGGACGTTTTTGAACAAAATCTCAAGTACTTCACAGCACAGCCAAAATACGTGTTTATCGATCAAAGAGTTGATGACGATAATGTGCCAGCGCTGGTAAGCCATGTGAACATTCCCTAACTTGTTCTGAAACTGTTAAGTAGTCCAGCACTAGCTCAAAGCAGCATTCAAATACGGCGTCTCGAATCCTTGCGATTGTGGCGAGGTGGGGAGGGGCTGGGAAGTGCGTGCATAGCAACAAACAGCATTATGGGTACATTTTACTGTAATCTGTTACGCCAGCGGTCAGAATCTGAGTGGGTGTAGCAGACGCGACAAGCGTTCACATTCTCCGGCCTGATTACAGGGACGATCACGTAGAACTAAATTAATTAATTGTGTTCGGGGTTACATAAGTCCTGTCCTGAACCCTCCGGGGTCCACGTGACTCAGTGACTGGGCAGAGTTCCGCTTAAGTGGCCACAGAAGTACACGTTGCCTGTACAGCGCTCCTACGAAGCGAGCGAGGACCGACCTGAAGACAGGAACGTCCGACCCTACGTCAGTGTACCGTATACAAACGATGACAGTTTCTCTGTACTCACCTGCATGTGAGCGTCGTCTTCCGCCTCTCCATCCTTTCCTATCTGCTCGACGGTACAGCCGTCTAGGAGACTGTAGGGGCCCGACTCGTTCAAGATGAGTGTCGCGCTCTCCCTCCTTGCGCAGACGTCTGATGGCTGCTGCCAGCTGTGCCCAGGCACAAGGCGCACAATGCCGACGGGGGCAAAAATGCCATGCTGCGGTCTGCACGTAAAGTACCTGGTACCCTGCACCGATCCGTCGTGCCGACCCACGGGTTCGTCCAACTCCACTCCACAGAAGATGCCAGACGTCAGTTCGATTTCGCCGAAGTATCGGAGGATTCCCACCTTGTCAGAAGACCAGTATTATGGAGAGAAACACAAGAACCCGTACAGGCACAGAAAACGTACTGACAACACCGTCAGGCCCGCCGCTGTGTCCAAGCACCTTGGCGACCTACAGGCGCCTAAATGTTCAAGATCTCGAACCCCAGATGCTGTGTGGCTTCAAGCTCCAACCGCATTAATCGTATCATAAAAAATTATCGCGTACCCCATTTCAAGTCTAAACATGCTGGTGCAAACAAAACTCGAATTCCGGCTGTCCATACCAATATACATTATCAAGCATAAAGCACGAAGAGAGTTGGGCCCTCCGAACTACAGGGTGTTACACCCATAAGTCTGTACTGTCCGTGGTCATCTCTGAGACAGCCTCAAACCTAACAACTGTGAAACATTAAGAACAAACCTTTCATAAGCTACGGTTCATTGCATGGAGCAAGGTCCTTTGAGAGGCTAACAGTCGGCCACTTACTCGTGGTATCTACCGCCTCCAGCGGAACCCGAAGGTTCATTGCCGCGTTCACAACAGCAGACCAATGATCCCTATTCTGAGCCAGATATTTCAGTCCACAGCCTCCCACTGCACTTCCATAACTTTAATGTGAATACTTCCCCACCAACTATGTCAAGGTCTTCCAAGTGGAGGTTCCTACTCTTCAGGGTTTCAGTTTGACAACCTATGATACAGGTTCACCTAACAGAACAAGGCTGGATATTGTGACAAAACCAAAGTCCCGTACCATGTTCATGTCGGCCACACGGGCCTTTGGTTGCGTCACAATGTTTTATTAGGTAGGCCGTAGCTCAGTATCATAAAACTGGAGGGAATGTAGGGACAAAGTGCGAGCAGCAAACACTACGCTTATTTGGGGTTCGTATGACACTGCCATTCTCACAATGTCTTGACCTACCTTGGTGCCATTCACGCACACGCGATGTCCGACGTGAGCAGACGTCACTGCGCCGGTCGTGTCGACGTCCCGACCAGCAAACAACGGACCGCAACATCCTTCAGACGTCTTAAAATTCTTCACATGTTCAGACTTTATATTCAAAGGTGCGTCAGTGTTGCGTGGACCAGACGGCACTGAGGACTCCACTGACATGGGTTTCGTGGGCACAGCGCCTACCTTGTTCCTTCCGAACAGCTCCAACAGCGAAGAGGGCCGCTTGCTTGTCTTCTCATTGTGCGGTCGCAAGGTGAAGGGCACTCGGACGGGCAGCTGCGGCGGCACGCCTGGCTGCTGCTTCAGGAACACTGGGATGCGGCTGTCCGCGGGCGCCTGCGCAAAAGGGACAACGGCAAGTGTTCAGCTGGTACAGCTGTAAGGGCAATCGCACCTACTGCGCATGTCCGCGCGCCAGCTGCGCTCTAACTTCTTAACAAACAACTGTGTGAAGGAGCAACAAATCTACTGGAGATCATCAGAAAGCGACGTTAACATAGAAGGAAAGACTTCACATATTTAACGAACACAGGTTGTCATAAAGCGGATGTCCATCACTGGATATCGAGAGTACACTAAAATACTAATGCAATTATAATAAGCTGTGTTGCTAGAAATAGTCAAAATCAGTTCAAATTAATTAATCTCTTATAAACAACGCTGTGTTTCATTCAAATAACTTTATATATATCAAATAAAATATCACATATTTTGGCGCCAAACGTATCATGTTTTACATACTACAAATATGCGGACGCACTGCCCATAAATACAGTCTATAAATTTGCTGTTTTACTGAAAACACGTTTCTTTGTTGCCAAGAGCGCGCGATGGAATTCCTCAATTCAAATTAACACTGTTGGTGGGCTTTCTTTGCATGCTGAGATGCAGGCTCTCCAGCCCCTTAAAGCAGCACTGCCCACAGTGTGTGTGGTTGTCTATTTTTGCCTAAATGGCTTCATTTGTCGGTCTTCGTTTTCTGTCAGGCAGGAACTGAAATTTGCATTAAGTTTTTGCTTCAGGGGGTAACACTCACACCGCACCCCGTCTTCTGACCGTTCAGTCCTGGACACTGCTTCTGTGATTATTCTTTTGTGTCAGGGCTTCCTGGACTGATCCCTGGATCCATTGGGTCCAGGGGCTTCCCGGGCAGATACGTCTCTTAACATCGAATCTCAAATTAAATGAATTATTTAATCAATGATATCGTGTGGTTACGAAACTGCTTCATGGATGTAAATATACTGAACTAGCGCCAATAAATAGTATTTACACAACCCCATTGAACAGAGTGGCAAGGTGAAGCACAACACAGTGGAATCCAAACTATGGTTCGCAAACCAAACCACTCAAGATAAAGATAAACTTCACTTCCAACCAACGAATCCAATTCGAGTACGTGTTCGAATGGACTTTTCGTTGATTTCTCACGAACGTAACATGTTTCGCTTCATTTAATTTTTAACACAGGCGGTTTATTGGTCTGGGGTGTTCATGAAGTTCTTTAAAAAAGCAACAGAGCCCTCACTGCAAAAAAAAAAAAATGGAAACCCTGGTTTAGATAATGATCTCACATCTACGCCGCATAAATCTTCCATTCGGGTTTCCGGGTCAAATTTCTTTCGCGAATATCCCCTTTGCTCCCTTGCGTACCGCATAGCTTGCCCAACGTACTCCCGAAATCAGGTATATTTAAATTTATATATCACTGAATCGCCGATCACGGTAGCCGCACGGTCTAATGCATGAACTGTCTTCACCCGCTCAAACACTGAGTTCGTGAGTTCGAATCCCACTCGAGGCATGGATGTCTGTGTGAAGTTATTCTGTGTTTGTGCTGTCATGTGTGTAGGTGGCGGTCTTGCGACGGGCTCATCCCCCGTCCAAGGTGTCCTACTGACTGGGTACATAAAGGATCAAGAAACTGAAAAAGCCGTAGATACATACGCGTATGTCTTTGAAACAGCTCACAGAACAGGCGAACGAGGTCCGGGAGTGACTGTGAGCAGCAATTCCAGAGCGCTCGCAAACATGCAACTGTCACATTTCGGGCGCATTTCTCTATATCTATTGTTATAAACGTGTTTCACTGCGACAGATTGCGCGCACATTTCCGTTAGAATCAGAATGTACTCGTATCAACAGATCCTAGTGAAACGTCTGGTTACCAAAGGTAATTAAAATCCGTTTAGTGCTTCTCGAGTTATTAAACGCTGAGATACAACGACGAAGGTAACTGCACATCTTTGGGGGAACTTTCCTTGAGACTTGAGCTCGCGCGCACTTCACAACTCCTGCAGGGCACACCAATAGCAGCAGACGAGTTGCATCACAACACAACACACTGCTCCCAGCATGGGCACCGCACAAGTGGCACGCCTGTGCTCACGCTGATAACATGGCGGTTATGGCTGGTCGAGGCCTACATGGCTGTCTGATAACGGTAAGTACTGATAACAGGCCTCACTGCCATAGGACTTCGCAGGAACTAAGCGGCAAGAATAGGAACATTTATTTTTACATATGAAGAAACAATTTCGATTCTATTAGTAGAAACTGTGCCTGATATTCTTGGCTGCGCTCCAGACTGGGTCGGACTGCCAAATATTATTAGCCAACTGGCGCGGTTCACACTGTAAAGCGCAACGGATTCATTCATCTTGAAGTCCTAAGTTCATCTAAATAATAATAATATATATAATCAGTTCCAGCTACACAGAAAACATATTACGTCTTTACGTACAAAAACTAATCGACCAATGCTGTTTCGAGAAACACTTTCTGTTAATTGTGAGAATCTTCCGGAGCACACAAATACATGGGAGTGGGTGAAATGCACAGTCTTCCTTATGTCGAAGCAGTTACCACTTATGACAGCGCTGTTTAAATGCAGTCGCAGAATGAGTCGGAAAGGCGATCCTGCATCGTCACTTCAAATATAAGGATCTGGAAGGAGACGCTCGTTTATTCACCAAGACACTCAGGGTGACATCAGGAATCAACACTTAAAGCAGCGTATGAATAGATCTGCTCTAGAAAAATAAACGCAAGGAGAACAAACTGTGCTTCCTGTATTTACTTGTATCGACCGACAACGTTTCTTAATCAGCCCAAGATCGCTTCTCTGCTGCTCACCGAGAGACTACAGGACCGCTCAGGACGGACACAGGCACTGGGGGTATGGGCTGGATTCGTCAGACCACGGACAGGGCCCAGTGACGGGCTTCTTTCTCCTTCCGCAGAGGCTGGATGGCCGTCGGCTTGTCTGCAAGGATTTGCCCAGCTCTCCCGCTCTTCCGTTCCTCTCATGAGGCGCAGTAAGAAGTCTGGGTTTACTCAGCCCTTTCCCATTTAGTTAACCACCATGCCATGCGCTATTGCTAGCGCTGTGAAATAAAAATAAATAAATAAACAAAATGAACAAGTATCACCAATTTCACTCACAGGTACAGAAATCCATACGTCAACACAAAATAAAGGCTACATTACCCAACGCAATCCAACCCACTTTACCTCAATGATCCATTTTAATAATATCGTCACGTCTTTCAGCTTCTGGGCTGAGCTTAAGGATTATAAGCCCTCGGTGTCAAAATTAGCACCTCACGAAACGAGTGCCTCGGACTAATGTTTTGGCAGGAGCTCAAGAAGAGGGTCCACAGGCTCTCCATAGCAACGGGCCTCTTGTTGAGGGATTCCTTACAAAATGAGCGACTGTCAGCCCCTCGAGTCAGTTACTCGCTCGGTTACTGAACCGTATCGTTCTGCATGGAGTAACAATATCAATCGGGCCCACGTCACGACTCCATTCCCGCCGTACAGTCTGGCCTGCTTGGCCCAAATATTCTAATTCGCTTTAAGTAGCGGCTGGCCAAGTGGGCCAGTTCGGACAAGGATTCAGAATACATTTCATAATACTGTGGCATATAGACTCATTGCCAAGTAATAGCAGTGTAAACAGGCGACAGTACGACAGTCGTTGCTAGGGAACATCCCTGTGGACAGGTAGTTTCACTGGCAACGAAAGAACAGGCAATAATTGAAAAGCCTGGTGCAGGAAACAAAAAATGGAGGACCGTCTCTATAAACTATATAGCTACCATAAACAAGCAAAGCCATGGTCATGCGACCTCAGGCAACAGCATTCACCATGCTGCACTGCTCCTTAGTCAGTGTCAACTTCCTCCGGAAGTGACGTGTAGGTGTGATCACTCCCGTGCCGGAAGTCGTCCCGATATTCAGGGCGTTTTGGCGCTGCGAGCAGTAGGGAGCCAGTTTAAAATATTTCACTTGGAATAATTATCTTTTCTTCTAAATTTCCACTTGAATTTTATCCATAAAGAGCGATAAACACAAGAGGAATCAAACTTCGCAACTTACATCTATCCTAGGTTGGCACTGACTGACGGAAACATGTCTGAACTCAGCCGTAACCACCAAATGGGTTGGGGGGGACGGGGTGCCAGAATGTCTGCTTACAAGCTCACTTTCCAGCAACATGTTATACACATTTCTCTGTTCAGGATGGAACGAGATACTAATTCTGTAGAATCCTGCTGTACATCACTTAGTATGATAAGGACACACAGCATAACACAACAGAAAGAACTGCTGCACATCACTTAGTATCATAGGACACACAGCATAAAACAACAGAAAGAACTGCTGCACATCACTTAGTATCATAGGACACACAGCATAAAACAACAGAAAGAACTGCTGCACATCACTTAGTATCATAGGACACACAGCATAAAACACCAGAAAGAACCAGTCAGTAGCCATCACGACAAGGATCGTAACAGATCCAGCAGCATCAGAGGACGCAGAAGAACAGCGAGACCTCCAAAAAAGTGAAAGTGCAACCAATATAATAAAGTTGAACTTTAATTCATGAACTTTTAACCAGTGGTAGTAATTAAACTAGTTGAAGTGAACTGGACGCAATGGTCAAGCGTAAGTAGGAAGTGACTGAAAAACAAGTGAAAGTGAAAGTATAACCAGTGATCCGAGTCGAACTTCGATTCGCGAAATTTTTAAAAATTTTTAACTTTTAACATTTAGAATAATATTTTAACTTGTGTTTTATAAGAAGAGCTTGATATATCATTGAGGGTAAGCCTGAACAAGATACAGAGTCGAATAAGTGGAAAAACGAATGTGATTGCGTGTAATTATACAGTTGTTCGTACACCTGAGGATGACCTCTTGAGGTCGAAACATGTAGTGTAATAATAATAAAAACGTGTTGTGTAGTCGGTAAAATTGACTCTAATATTGATTAAAAACACAACAGGATGCAAGAAACAATTAAAGAACCAGTCACTTTGAATACG